CTGGATTTCCAGTTTTCATGGTGGGGGTGTATACTCTGGAGGTAATCTCTCTCCCTCTCATACTCTGGGGACTTACAGTTTTTTACCTGGCTCATGGTGTAGACTGCAGCCCGCCCCTTCTTTCAAAGGATCTGTGGTTTCTTTCCATTTTTTCCGTTAAGTTCCTGTATTGCTTCTTTGAAAAAAGTTCACAGTTCGAGTCTCTGCCCACTATATTTTTCTTTTGAAGTGGGAGAGGCATGCTAACACTACCTCCCATCTGCCATCTTCGGGAGGGCGGGATTTTTTTTTTTTAATTAAAATTTAAATTTTTGTAGGCTGACTATGTGGCAAGGATCAACCTAAGGTGTATTTAAGGTCTTCTCAGGTCTTTTCTGAGCCTGGGCTTGTGTGGTCACTTTACACATTTTTCCATATATATAGTTTTTGAATGTCCTAGTCTTTATTTTATTTCATTTTTTATTTTGAGACAGAGTCTTGCTCTGTTGCCCGGGCTGGAGTGTAGTGGCTCAATCTTGGCTCACTGCAACCTCCGCCTCCTGGGCTCAAGCTCCTGCCTCAGCCTCCCGAGTAACTGGGATTACAGGCGCCCGCCACCACGCCTGGCTAATTTTTGTATTTTTAGTAGAGACGGGGTTTCACTATGTTGGCCAGGCTGGCCTTGAACTCCTGACCTCAAGTGATCTGTCCTCCTTGGCCTCCCAAGGTGCAGGGATTACAGATGTGAGCCACCACGCCCAGCCAAATGTCCTAGTCTTTAATGTGTGGCTCTCAAAAGGGAAAAAAAGAGTAAAATGGGGTTTGCTGGCCTTTTAAGTCCTCTAGAAGTGACTTCAGCCAGAGGGGGAGAGGCTTAACAATAACATCTACTCATTTCTTTGTGTGCTCCTCTGTGATCAGAAGCAATAATCAGTGATCAGAGCACAGATCCCTGATATTTGGAAAATAGTCCTTTTTGCTTACCATGGCCCTCACAAGTTGCATGCACACTGTTCCAGGAACACATGCACAGCTGTCTACCCTCGAGTTGGGGATGGGTAGCTGGTTCTGTGCTGAGAGCTAGAATGACCGAAATTAACCACAATTTATTGTCCAAGCCTTCCCTTGGAGGTTGCAAGCCTTTGGTATCTTCCAGAGTTCCAAAATAATTACATTAGGTAGAGTCTGCCAGTGCAATTGTTGTCTAGATAGGGATACAGATTCCTGGTATATCCTACTCCATCATCATCTGAGAATCCTCCAGCCTGGATTCATTCTTGGCTTCTTTCTTTCTCTCATACTAATCAATCCACATCAATTTTGCTTGTAAATGTCATCCTTTTATCTGCAAAATATATCTAAAGATTGACTACTTTTTTTTTTTTTTTTTTTTTTTTGAGACAGGGTCTCACTGTGTCGCCCAACCTGGAGTGCAGCGGTGAGATCTTGGATCACTGCAGCTTCAACCTGCCCAGCATCCTGAGTAGCTGGGACAAAGGGGTGTGCCATCATGCTTGGCCATGATCACTTTTCACTACCTCCAGAACTACCACTCTGGTCCCAGCCAGTATCACTTCTCATCTCAATTATAGGTTGGTGCAAAAGTAGTTTGCTTTACATTAAAAGTAATGGCAAAACTGCAATTACTTTTGCACAACATATATTATTGTAGCCTGCTAACTGACACCAGTTTCTGCTCTTGTCCCCTTGTCTGTTCTCAACCCAGCATCTGAATGATCCTTATAATAATCAGATCATCTTTTTGTGTAAAACCTTCCTTCTCTCTGAAGTCAAAGTCCTCACAGGGCACCTACTTGGCTCCCTTCCCTTCTCTTTCTGTCCTCTTCAACTATTCTTTCTTCCTTTTGCTCACTTCACTTCAGCTGTATTGGGTCCCCTTGCTGATCCTTTAACTAGTCAGGCATACATCCTCTTGAGGGTGTTGAATTTCTTTTGACTAGAAGGCTCTTCCCCCAGGCATTGCCACAACTCACTTCTACTTTTGGGTTTTTTCTCATATGTCACTTTTTTAGTGAGTGCTTATCTGACCACTCAATCTGAATTGGCAGCTCTCCCTGCCATATAATCCCTGTCTCTGGTTAATTTAACTCCTTAGCCTTCAGCATCATCTACATGTATGGTATACTATTTTATTTTTTTCTCTCTCCTCTGTAATATAAGATCCATAAAAACAGGGACTTTGCCTTTATTCACTACTGGACCCAGGCACCTAAAATTGTGCTATCGTATAATAGTGCTCATTTAGAATTTGTTGTGTGATTGAATTAATGAGTGGAGTGCTTGGGTTATCCTGGCATCAATGTATACCTTATCTAATTTCAGTGAAGTAGAGGCAATAAAACATCTAGTAGGCAGATCTGGAAGAGAGATTTGAGTGAAGCTGTAGGAGTTTTCATACCTTAGAAAGAGTGTAAACAATCTGAAGAGAAAAGGACTAGGGATGAGATCTTGGAAACACCCACCTGTAAGGGTTGACCAGAGAGCAGCACTGTCCTAAGACTTTGCCAACTGAGAACAAAAGACCTATGCTTTAAAGGTCCTCATATGGTCTTCCTCCAGAAGCTACACCCCTGCCCATAGAGTGAAGACTTTGTGGGGGCCAAGGTGACTAGTCTACCTGGTCTCTTTCTAGATCAATCTTTGAATATTTGATCCTAGAATTTCCTGCCCATGTGTCCCTTCACAACTCTCTTCTCTGATTCTCTCCTCTCTTGACTGTACAACACATATGGGATCCCCTGTGTTTAAGGGATGGCCAAGGAGCAGCTGTTTGCAGTCATGTGACCAGAGCTGTAGGCTTTATATATGTGTGCATATGAAGTCCTTTGTAGTATAAAGTGGAGCTAAAGGAGGAAAGAGAAAAGGAGTTGGCTGCAGACAAGGGGAAGGGGTATGGACTTTCCTTCCTGTGTCCCTACATAACATTAAGGGAAGCTGAGAACTCAAAAATAGAACTTGGCCTTTCAGGTTGTTATTAGTCAAGATAGGAGGAGGGAATAATAATTTAACAGCTTGATTTAGAACTTTAAAAAATATTTAGACACATGGTATGTAGGCTTCCATTTGTACTCTTGTCCCAGGCTCCTTGAAAATGAGGGTTGAGCCTGCAAGGGGGAATTGAAAGGGAGTAGCCAGAGAGGGAAAAGATAAATTCAAGGTAGAGTTTCAAGAAGGGAGTGATTAACAGTGTCAGATGCTTCAGAGGCATCAAGTCCTATGAAGAGAGAAATGTATCCATTGGATTCTACAAGCAGAATTTAGTAAAATTTCAGTTGAGTGGGGATGGATGCCAAACTTTGATAGAAGGAGGAGTACTTGAGAAATTAGAAAGTGGAGGCCGGGCGCGGCGGGCGGATCACAAGGTCAGGAGATCGAGACCATCCTGGCTAACACGGTGAAACCCCGTCTCTACTAAAAATAGAAAAAATTAGCCGGGCGCAGTGGCGGGCGCCTGTAGTCCCAGCTACTCGGGAGGCTGAGGCAGGAGAATGGCGTGAACCCGGGAGGCGGAGCTTGCAGTGAGCCGAGATTGCGCCACTGCACTCCAGCCTGGGCGACAGAGCGAGACTCCGTCTCAAAAAAAAAAAAAAAAAAAGAAAGTGGAGACAGAGTATAAAAGATTTCTTATCTAGAAACTTACCTGAGAAAGAAAGGAACTGGAGCAGTAGCTGGAAGGGTATGCAGGATTATGGAAGAGGACTTTTGCTTTGTTTTTGTTTTTGAGACAGGATCTTGCTCTGTCACCCAGGCTTGAGTGCAGTGGCAGGATCACGGCTCACTGTAACCTCAACCTCCTGGGCTCAAGCGATCCTCTCACCTCAGTCTCCCAAGTAGCTGGGACTACAGGTTTGCACCACCAGGCCCGGCTAAATTTTTTATTTTTTGTAGAGACAGGGGTTTCCCTATGTTGGCCAGGCTGGTGTGGAGCTCCTGGGCTCAAGTGATCCTCCCGCTTCCCTCTCCCAAAGTGTTGGAATTACAGGCCTGAGCCACCTTGCCCAGTCAACTTTTCTACTTTTAAGATGAGAGGATCTTGCAAATGCTTATATTTTGAGGGAAAGGAGCCCAATGGTAGTAAGAGAAGGTTAAGGAAAAAGGAATAATTGATGGAGCAAGGCCTACGATCAAGTGCTTAAGTCAATTGCTTAAGTCAAGTGCTTAAGTCTTTAAGCCTTTGAAAGAAGGAGGACTATTTGAGGAGGCTTGGGAGTTAGAAGGAGGGCTTGGGATGTTTGGATGGGTGCTGATGCTAAGTCGGTGGGGTGAGATAGCAGGAACATGTCTAATAGTGACTCAGGAGGCTGAGGTGGGAGAATCACCTGAGGCCAGGAGTTCAAGATCAGACTGGGTAACAGCAATATCTTATCTTTAAAAATAAAAGTTAAAAATAAGAAATACTGACCTGAGCATGGTGGCATATGCCTGTAGTCCCAGCTCCTCAGGAGGCTGAGGCAGAAGGATAGCTTGAGCCCAGGAATTTGAGGCTGCAGTGAGCTGTGATCTCACCTCTGTGATCCAGCCTTGGTGACAAGAGTGAAACCCCAACTCTAAAAATTTTTTTTCCTTAAACATTGTTTTATAGTAGTTTTTTGGGCTAGTCTTATTTTTCAAACTTGATTTTATACTCCTGGGGAGCAGAGGTTATACCTGTAGCCACTTAGTAAGAACCTGTTATTAGAACTTGCCCAATGGAGGAAAAAAAAAACAAGAACCTGTTTGAAATGCAGCCTATAATACGGAGCATAGGCTTCATACGTTGGTTCTGTCCTCACTCAATAGTTGTTATGTAGTGGTGAGTTAAAATTTAAAGTTTGAGAAAAGCTCTGATTTCTCAAAAACCTAGAAATAATTTATTATATTCCTTATGTGAATGTGTGACATATGGCTTTGGAAGTGATTTGTTTTATTAAGTATTTACTATCTCAGACACATCTATTTGAGCTTAGTGCTTTTTAAATATAATTATATTAATATTGTCTTTTTTCCCTTCCCGCTGGTAGTTCCAAAGAACTACTGGTTCAGATTTTAGCTCTTCCGAAGTTGTGAAAACAGTGAAGGATGCTTAGACTACTTAACATACAAACTGTAAGTAACATTTATTTCTGCTATTATTATATATATTGGGAATAGTTATTTATATTACCTTATATGGTGATAGCATGATGGGACTGTGGAATTTTATTAATTTTTCTTCTTAAGATACAAAGACTTTCTATTCCATTTTATGTTTATAAGATCAAAAAGGAGGCTAATAGTACTGATCAGTAGGATGAAATTTCTGCTTTTTTTCAGGCATTTCATTTTTCTAGAAGTTTCTGGAAATTCTTTATTGTTCTATTTCCATATCTGTATGATGCCAGCAGGCAAACATAATACAAGGGCATAATATTAATGGAATGATTTATGGGAACTATATACTTTCTCTTCAGATATGCTCGATTTTTCTGCATTCTTTTTGACATGAAAAATTCTGTTAGTAATAAATCTCCATACTTCCTCTGTATGAAAATTTTCGCATAAATGAAATCAAATAAAAAGTAACTTTTTAGGAATAATTTAATGCATAAATCCAGATGATGTAGGAAGGGGAAAAAATGTAAGAGGTTAAGAAATTACTTGAAACCATTTGCTGTATTGCATCTTGAACTAATATCAAAACAATTGAGGAAAAGTATGATAGAATGAATACCAAAACAATTGAGGAAAGTATGATAAAATAATATCAAAGGCATTCCAAGTGGTAACTACTTTAATTTTAAACTACTTTATTTGAAAATATAAGCAATTCAAATTAATCTGTCTTACATACAGTTCCTGGATTCATAGTGTATTCAAAGTGTGAATACAAAATGAGATTGCTGCCATAAGCAAAAGACAGTTCTGATTGTTCAAACAAACAAACCTGATGAGGCAAAGAAGAAGAATGAAATATTTAAGAATCAATAATCTTTTAATTTGTTAAATAGGAAATCGGATTCAACGTTTTCTCAGTCTGGCACATTTTATATATTAAATGAATAAGAGATCTTTAACATTTCTAGAAACTAACGTATTTCAGGAATAAAACAACATCTTTATAAAGGGAGAAAGTTACAACTTTTTTTTTTTTTTTGAGATTGAATCTCGCTCTGTCGCCAGGCTGGAGTGCAGTGATGCGATCTTGGCTCACTGCAACCTCTGCCTCCTGGGTTCAAGCGATTCTCCTGCCTCAGTCTCCTGAGTAGCTGGGACTACAGGCACACTCCGCCACGCCCAGCTAATTTTTGTATTTTCAGTAGAGATGGGGTTTCACCATGTTGGCCAGGATGGTCTCGATCTCTTGACCTCATGATCCGCCTGCCTCGGCCTCCCAAAGTGCTGGAATTACAGGCGTGAGCCACCGTGCCTGGCACAATTATAACATTTTATTTCCTAGAATATGAATATCATAATACTACCTATATACAATTGCTTGTTAAGAACTTATTCAGTATGTTCATGAACTTGATTACTAACTCTTAAGAGGTAGAATGTTCATTACTGCCCTCTTTTGACACAGGGATATAGAAGCCTATCTTCTTTTTCTTAGTTCAGGGTTAAAATTAGATTGCAAAATAAGTTACACTTTATTTATGTCCTTCCTGTAATTTTTAAGATAACTTTTCAAATTCTTCCTCTTTTTAGGGTCCCTGGTTAATCATCTTTAGAAGACTGGATTTCTGGATATCTACTGCACTCCGTCTCTATTGACTTTTAAAACATGATAATGCAAACCTATAACACTGGCAACCATCAATGAACCTTTAATTTCATTGATTAATAGCGTTTGAAGCTTCCTCAGGGAATAACAATGACATCAGCAGTGGTTGACAGTGGAGGTACTATTTTGGAGCTTTCCAGCAATGGAGTAGAAAATCAAGAGGTTAGGCATTCAATGAATTACATTTCTATTTTCTTCATAGAAATTTGTGCATGAACTAATTTTGAAATTAATAGGAAACAGATATTTGAGAGTAGAAATGTACAAAGCATGAAATTATACATGTACATGTCGTGTACCCTTATAATTTAGGTAATAGAAGGTCAAGGAAGGTACTGCAGGGCTCACGTGAATTGTTGGAACATACATATATTAGAATGAACTTGGAGGGAGGAAACAAATGGAAAGAACACTATAGTATTAGTTGAGACTTAAATTTAAATCCCTGATAAAATGCATTGTCTTGGATTATGATGTAGGTATATACCTAAATTAGATTCATTCTAAGTTAGAATTTTGTATGTGCTTTACTTTACTTATTATCTTTGTTTCTTGATTATTTTATATCTTAATCAGCGTGGAGATCCATTGTATTTTAATTTCATATCAACACTTACGAATTTAGATAATTAGTCAGAAAATGAATTCAGGTTTTGAAATTTTATGCATGTAGAATTTTGAATCATTAGCATATTTGGTTATTTTGTTATTGATAACATTGAAGAATTAGATGAGAATAAAAAATAACAGTACTAGAAATATAGGGGTTTCCAGGTCCTGGCTTCAATTCTCAGCATTCAGTAAAGAGTAAATATTGGGGCCGGAAGCAGTGGCTCACGTCTGTAATCCCAGCACTTTGGGAGGCCGAGGCGGGCGGATCACCAGGTCAGGCATTTGAGACCATCCTGGCTAACACTGCGAAATCCTGTCTCTACTAAAAATATAAAAACTTAGACGGCTGTGGTGGTGGGCGCCTGTAGTCCCAGCTACTCGGGAGGCTGAGGTAGGAGAATGGCGTGAACCCCGGGGGCAGAGCTTGCAGTGAGCCGAGATCGCGCCACTACATTCCAGCCTGGGCGACAGAGCGAGACTCCGTCTCAAAAAAAAGAGTGAATATTGGAAGGGATCTAAATTATAATTCAATAGTGCTGTCATAATAACTGATAATATTTGTTCAGAGCTGAGGTGGGGAAATGGAGAGTTTTCTATATTTAAAAAAAAAGAAAATCTGTTTTCTGTATTTTCTGTGAAAGATGCTGCGTTACTCGTGCTTGCTAACAGTATAACGGTATAATGGCATGCTTGAGAAACAAGTTAGGACATCAGTCTCTGTGTTTTGTAGTCTGGATTCTTTTTTTTTTTTTTTTTTTTTTGCTTGGTGTCTGCTCATTTTTCTAAGATCCAGATCAGCTGTGGGCAAATTCACTGGGAATAGGATAGTGAAGGTCTTCCTCTTCTTTTCTCAGTGGACTCAAAAACTCTTGTGTGTCTTTTGTATTCAAATCCAAAACTAGTGCAAAGTCCATTAAGAGAAGCCACAGCTACAGAACATACTTTCTTCCCATAGTCAATGTCTTATTTCTTCCCTCGAGATTCACTTTCTGTATGATCACCTCCAGGAATGACTCACCGAAGACATTACGGATTGGGGAACTGCCATCCCCTCCTAGATTACCCAGACCAAATATTGCTTTTTCCTCAAATGCTTTCTCCTGCCATATAGTTTTACTCTGTTTTAACCCTTGAGGGGAGCCACCAAAAACAGTAGGCAGAATATCTTTACCTTGTGTTGATTAAAAGGTATCATTAATATGGGGGAAATGAGGACAAACAGTTTGTTTCTGGAATACTTCTTATATTTTTCTTCTTTACATATAACTTCAGTGTTCACAGCCAGGAGAACTTACTATCGTGGAAGAAAGAATCTCATAAATGAAATGACTTTACCAAGTTATTATTGACTAGTGATTTATGTGGTAGTCTTATAGGGTGATCACATTTTATAAAGTAAGTCAGAAGAAGACTGTATCCTTAATGAGCATGTCAGGTAGTATGGCCAATATACAACTGGAAACTGAAGCAGTACTATTTAATGGAGCGTCAAAAAGCAGCTGGGTTCCCTGGCATGTGCATATAGTCCCAGCTACTCTAAAGGCTGAGGTGGGAGGCTTACTTGAGCCCAGGAGTTCAGGTGCAGCTCAAGCAAGATAGTGAACCGCGTCTTTAAAAAAAAAAAAAAAAAAAAAGGGAAAAGCTTAATGAAATATATAAAAGACCTCTGTACAGTGAACTATAAATACTGTCGAGACATATTAAAGACCTGAATAGACAGATGTACCAAGTTTATGGATTGGAAGACATACTGTGGTTAAGAACAAAGTTGAAGGGCTTACACATCTGATTTAAAGACTTCCTATAAAGCGGCACTAATTGAGGCAGTGTGGTATTGGTGTGCCAACAGACGTGTAGATCAATGGAACATTAAATACATATAAAAATGCTCAATGTTATTAACCATCAGGGAAATGTAAATTAAAACCACAAGACGATCCTACTAAACACACAACATGAGGAAAATTGATGAGAGTAATACCACATGTTGGAAAGGATAAGGAAAAGCTAGACCTCTCATACATTGCTTATAAGAATGTAGGCCAGGCACGGTGGCTCACGCCTATAATCCCAGCACTTTGGGAAGCCGAGGCGATCACGAGGTCAGGAGATTGAGACCATCCTGGCTAACGCAGAGAAACCCTGCCTCTACTACAAATAAAAAAATTAGCGGGGCGTGGTGGCGGGCACCTGTAGTCCCAGCTACTCGGGAGGCTGAGGCAGGAGAATGGCGTGAACAGGGAAGACAGAGCTTGCAGTGAGCCGAGATTGCGCCACTGTACTCCAGCCTGGGCGACAGAGCAAGACTTCATCCCTCCACCCCCCCCGCAAAAAAGTAAAGTAATATAACCACTTTAGAAAATTATTTGAGTACTTTAAAAATTAAATGTACAATTGCCATATGATCTGGTAATTTGACTCAGGTAAATATGGAATGGAATGGAAAGGAAGGGAAGCCAAGACCAGGGATGTTCATAGGAGCATTATAGCCATATAAAGACAGGCAAATGGGTAAGCAATTGATCTACAATAGAATTTTCAGCAATAAAGGGAAATGAACTATTGATACATGCAGCAATGTGTATAAATATCAGCAGTAAAGAAGTTGGACACAAAAGAGAACTGTTGATTTCAATATAAAATTTGAGAAAAGGCAGATCTATAGGGATAGAAATCTATAGGGATAGATCAGTGGTTGCCTAGGTCTGTGTGTATGTGTGTGTGTGCGTGCACATGTGGTGGTGGGGATTGATGGGTGAAGTAGGTATGAGGGAACTTTCTGGGGTGATGGAAATGTTCTATTTCTTGACTGTGATGGTAGTTAAAGAGATGTTTACATTTGTGAAAATTCATTAGAAAAATAAAAAGATTTTCATCTTGTGAGGCAGATTCTCCAACAAGTTTTATATTTTGCAAATGGATTCCTTTTTAAAGTTGTCAAATTACCCGTTATTGGCTTTATGTTTTTTTGTTTTGTTTTGTTTTGGTTTTTGTACCAATTGTTATTTTTAAATGAAAAAAGTATTTTGATGTTTCTTAGTTATCAGGATCATTGTAAAAAACAATAAACTCAGACATACTGAGAAAATGAAAAGTCCATCTTTTGTCTGCTCACCTCTCTCACCAGGTTAATAATTTGAGGTGTATTTTTTCCAGACTTTTAAATGTATATGTAAAATAAATATATAAGTGGAATCAGACAACAGTACTATTCTATGGCTGATTTTCCTCCTTCCACCCCCACTTGTTTGTATCATGGATATTTTTCCAAGCTAGTATACAGCTCTAACTGCCTTAATTGTTTAATTGATGCTGAATAGTTTCTCATTGTATGGATGTTTGTTAGTATGGGTGTATGTTTTCTGTCTCTCTCTTTTTTTTTTTTTTTGGGCATTATGAACATCTAGCTTAGGGGACTTGTCTTAAAACTGGGTTTGCATAGCAAGTGCATCATTATTTATTCTAGTGATGTATTTATTTGGAGTGGTTTCTGGGGTTAAACCATGGAGAGGTAGGGGAGATGAGTCCTCCCTAAAGCCTGCCAAATGGTATTTTTCAGTTTTGATAAGATTTTTGAAGGTGATCTTACTCTACCGCAAAAGAGAAAATGTGGAACAAATTTATGTACTTTTAACATACTCCTGAATTTTATTATCTTTCTATATATTCCTAAAGTACATTGAGAAAAGGATTACAATACCACTGCTTTCAGTCATTTCATTGTACTTGTCTTTGGAAACTTCTGATACCTGGAGAGCAATGACTGAGTGCATATAAAAGCACTTTCTAGGTAAACACTGCAGCATTGCACTTGTCTTGCCTCTTTAAACTAAGAATCTCTCTCCTTAAATGGAAGTTTCTGAGATCACTGTTAGTACCTAGAGTAGGGTTGCCAGATAAAATACAGGATGTCCAGTTAAATTTGAATTTCAGATAAACAACAAATGACTTTTTACTTTAAGTATGTCCCAAATATTGCATGGGACATTCTTACAGTTATTATTCAGTGTTTCTCTGAAATTCAAATTTAACTGTGTTTCCTGTATTTTTTTTTATTTGCACCCTGGCTTGTAGGGAATTAGACAGCTTGTGCCAAGATCCATGGTGACTTGAGCAAAGTAATGCTAAGTAAAATAACCTTTTACATGTGTTATTTTTACTATTTTATTTTTAAGCAAAGACTCCTGGTTTCTTCTCTCCTATCCCCTTTTCTCCCATAAAAATAGCTACTCTTCTTCACAGTACAAGAAATAATTATCTGAATAGCTGCATGCAGTGTCCTCTGGTCTCTATCATTTGGCAGAAAAAAGGCTCATGAGGTTACTTGCCTCCATAGATGAGCAAATGTTGAACTTATATATACCTGTTAATATTAAGATTTGTTGACTTTATTATTCTTTGAGTCGAGCTACAAATATCTGTATTTAAATGCCACTTTAGTTTATATGAAGCATGTGTTATTGAGGAGGATATAAAAATTGACTACGATATAACTCTTGCTCTCAAATATCCTAATAGCCAGTCAAGGAGTTGTATATGTAAATACATAA